AAGAAGCCATATAGAGGTCCAATGCATCCGGCGGGAACAAGCGGTCCTTCTGCTCCATGTAGGCCCGCAACTCAGCCCAGGACTTCAGGGCATTCACCACCGTCGCTCCTTCGGCCTCTGTGACCTTCCGCTTAGACAAAGTATCCAGAGCGTCTTGCCACTGAGCGTACCTCTCCGGGGTCAACTCCCCTTGAGGACGCATGACCTTGGCTTGAGAAAAGGCCTTCCTCAATGCCGCAGCTCGCAGCAGCACCGTCTCTGGTTGGTCTGGGCCTGGCCGGACTCGAAGAGCTTGGACCATCTTGCTCTTCTTCATCATGGACGCCTTGGGCGCAGGCCATGTCGTTGGCCGATCTCTGGAGCCCGAGCTCTCAGCCACGGCAGCCGCTTGAGGGATGAGGTCAGCTTCGGCAGTTTTGGAGCGCGCTTGCAACCACGCATCTGCCACATGGTGTCCTCCATGTGCCACTGCGCTGTCATAGGATGCAAACGCATAGGCGAAGTCAGTCTCATCATGTAGTCCCCATTGAGCTCGCCACTGTTCAACACGGGTGGATGCCACCCTCTCCATCGCCGTCTCTGCACAAGGTGGAGCCTCACCAGCAGCCTGCACCGCATAGGCTCCTGGGTGGTATGCCATGGCGACGCCTGACACCACCGCCGCCAAGGTTCGGAGCGTACGGGCTGGGCCTGAAACTGCAGACCACACCTCAGTATCATCAGGTAACAAACAAACATCACTAGGCCGCAGCTGCTGCAGATGGGTCTCGACGCAAGACGGGGTGACATCCTGGACACTGGGAGGGTGGACAGGTACTGCACACAGAGGAGAAGCATCGCTCACAGAGCTCAGGTGTCGGCAGTCCACAAGCCCTGCAAGGTGGCAAGGGTTCCTCCCCAGCCTCCATGGCACCAAGCCAACCCCATAACGACCGAACTGCTCTGGCCCGTGGTGCTCTCCACGCAACCAGGTCAGCCGGGATGGGCACCAGGGATGGGTCCCTCCATCCACGCTGTGGGGATTGCCAGGTCCTCCACACATCCCAAAGTTCGGTGAGGTCGACCATGCTATCGGCATTGTGCTCGATGAAGGCGACCAAACCAAAGATGTTGTCCGGCGCAAAGTCCCGAGCCGTCCAATGAGTCCGCAGCGGCTCGATGAGTAGCAAATCCAGCTTCGCCTCGCCCAGGCGATCATAGTAGGATTGCCACGCACGCCGCGGGTCACTCCCGGGCAGAGCCAAGACAGCTGAGCTGTTCCATGTGCCGATCCAAGGGAACTTGAATCCTCCCTGATACTCAGTACACCTCCTACAGTTTTCTTCCATACAAGGTGACCGTCTGAAAGGGGGAAGTCCCTGCACCCCCAACCCAATTGGATGTGGGGGGAAATGGTCAATTTGGCACACAGAAGCCCACAACCGGGTGGCCTCTGCCACCAAGCCCTGCTGGAGTAGGCCCTCCACGTGCGTCTTGAACTCGTAGTAGGCCGCCGCATGAAGCAGCTCCACATCCGTGTGGGCAGCCTCATTCCAACCGGGCCGAACGACGATGGAGGCCCTTGGCATCGGGGGGGTGACCTCCCACCTTCGAACCTCTGTACTCTAGGGTAACGCCCTAGTAGAGGAACGAGAAACCACTGAACCTAGGGTAACTCCCTAGAAGTGGCGTGGGTACCCCAGCAAAAAGAAAGAACGATGAAGCCAGTTTGGCTCAGACTTGAGCCAAAATGGATTCATCAGCTTACATACTCACCCTAATGATAATGCACACCCAGTGCCTGCCAAACACGATGCATACACATATATATATATATATATATATATTATAATCATGAACTAACTGGAGTTTAACGCCAAGTATTTTTGGTTGAGAGGTACTGTAACCAATGGAGTTTTGCTGGATTAATCCCTCCCCCGTTCATATTGATACAATTTAATACCCTCTATTACCTTCTATTTTATGGTCCGCTATGAATGTGTAACCCCCCTACTTTTTACCATGGTTTCCGGATAGGGAATGGATTACCATCCTAACTAATATAGATGTGGAGAACCCACTATCTGTAGGAAAGTAGGAATCATTTTCCGACCGGGAAACCAATGGTTTTCCTCATCTGTTTGTATATTTACCCCAGGGTTGTTTGGGATTATGATGGGGGTTGTATACAAGTTTCACATATGTTCAATATCTAAAACCAACTTGATATAATACACATTTACAAAAATAGTGATTGGATTGGTTTACTGTAAGGGAACAATGGGGAGGTACCTCGAAATCGAGGATTCCCTATGAGAAACGGATGTTTTATATCATGATTTTGGGCATCCGAACATCGAACCGGGCTTGAGAGGCACTCGTCAAGTCCGGCGAACAACAGACTTCCCGTTAAAGATCTATGAAGACGCCAAAAATTAGTGGGTTTTGATCAACATTCTTTTATTCTGAAACGGCCATTCTTGCAAGGACCTTGGGATCAGCTCTCATTTATCATTCGTGGACTCTGATTTATCATTCTTGGAATCCTCTCAATTGAATAAGTTGTTCTCACAATCCAATGACATTGGCTAACGTTTGAAACCAAAAGGGTTATTTGTGGGAATCTGGGCCGAAGCAGCACCATGATTAGGTGTGAGCCGCATCTGGCTCGAGACAGGAACTCTCTGGACATCGCAAGTAGGTTCTAGTTATCTGCCGACCCCGGCAGACGCAAGGGGGAGCGCGCCAGGGAATAAGAGTTCTACCTCCACCACCACCATCACGACCACCACAACAACAACAACTATTAATGTTATTACTACGACGGCGACGACTACTACTCCTACTACTCCTACTACTCCTACTACTCCTACTTGTCCCCCTACTCCTACTCCTACTCCTACTGCTACTGCTACTACTACTACTACTACTACTACTACGCCGATGACGACGACGACAACTACAACAACAACACTCTCAATTTTAGTGGGGTTTCGTCAGGGACGTTACGCCCTTTTTGGGGGTTTCTTTGCTACGTTTTGGGCGCGAAATTAGATGGAGTTTTGCTGGCGGATGCGTCACAAAGCCATGCAGCTTGTGCTGGGCAGGCTCGCTGGCCGCAAGATGTGGCAAACATGCGTAAAAAACTGAAAAGTCTCAATTTTAGTCCGGTATCAGAAGGGACGTTTTGGGGTTCCTTTGCTACGTTTTGGGGACGAAATTAGGTTCTGTTTTGCTGTTGCGGATGCCTCACAAAGCCATGCAGCTTGTGCTGGGCAGGCTCGGCCACGAAGATGTGGCAAACATGCGTAAAAACTGAAAAGCATAAGTTTTAGTAGGGTTTCAGAAGGCACGTTAGGGACTTTTTTGGGGTTCCTTTGCTAGGTTTTGGGCACGAAATTAGGTTCTGTTTTGCTGTTGCGGATGCGTCACAAAGCCATGCAGCTTGTGCTGGGCAGGCTCGGCCACGAAGATGTGGCAAACATGCGTAAAAACTGAAAAGCATAAGTTCTAGTAGGGTTTCAGAAGGCACGTTAGGGACTTTTTGGGGTTCCTTAGGTTTTGGGCACGAAATTAGGTGGTGTTTGCTGTTGCGGATGCGTCACAAAGCCAGGCAGCTTGTCTGGGCAGGCTCGCTGGCCGCAAGATGTGGCAAACTTGCGTAAAAAGCTGAAAAGCCTCAATTTTAGTAGGGGTTTTGCTGTGACGGGTGCGTCACAAAGCCATGCAGCTCGGGCTTGGCAGGCTCTGGGGCCGCAAGATGTGGCAATGGATTCAAGATGTAGCAAAGATGCGTAAAAAGCTGAAAAGCCTCAGTTTCAGTAGGGTTTCAGGAGCGTCACGTTCCTTTGCTACGTTTTGGGCACGAAATTAGGTGGTGTTTTGCTGCTGCGGATGCATCACAAAGCTATGCAGCTTGTGCTGGGCAGGCTCGCTCGCTGGCCGCAAGATGTGGCAAACTTGCGTAAAAAGCTGAAAAGTTTCAATCAAACATGGCCCCAACATAGCTCCCAAGATGGCTCAACACGGGCCAACATAGGCCCAACATAGGCCCAAGCCTTTAAATAACTTTCGGTTACCACCGAAGGCCTCCGGCAAGGACACGGGCTCCGTGGCCGGCGCCCGCCGGCCAAGCAATCATGGCACCAACCATGTTGGCACAATATTGCCATATAGGCTCAAGATGGGCCCGATGGCTCAACATGGGCCCGACTTGGCCCAACATAAGCCCAAGATGCGAAATGGTTCAACATGGGCCCGACTTGGCCCAACATGGGCACAACCTGCGCTCAACATAGGCCCAGACTGCTTCCATAGAGGGAAGGCAAGCACTGCGCATTATGGCTGCCTCAGTTCAACATAGCCCTCCCTGGGTTTGCGCGGAGAATCTCGGCCCAATCTTCCCACACCATAAGCCAAAAGTCGTTGCTTGGCCGGCGCCCGGCTGTCAGGCGTAAGCCTTTAAATAATAAACATACTAAAGACGCCGTTAGATTGGTGGGATATACCCCAGTTATTAACCTGGGACCTGAGTTGTCAATCACTTATTACTTGGGAGGTATCCCCAAGCACAAAGTTTCTTCCATTCTTCAGGCTTCCGCTTCGTGTTGGGATCTTTTCACCCCCCTCATCATCAAACACTTCCTTCGAACCCCGGCCTTTCTTAGATATCCTGCAAGAACAAGTTCAGTCTTGGGTGGGTATCATATTCCGCCCCTTTTCAACCTAGCACTAAGAAATACCCCTCAACCACCATATTCCACGAAATTCCGCATGAAATTCAACTGTTTTGAAACAGTTCCAGTGGCTACATGCGCTACGGCCGAAACATGTTATACGGTTTATGGTCATCCAGCCCGTAATGGGAATCCTCACAATGTGGCAAGCCCAACAATAAACACCCCCAAGTCATCACCATTATGGCTTTATGATGGTTTATGGTAGCTTTCCCACATGAATGGCGACATAAATCCCTGTGATGATCATCCCCCTTGGGTACATCTCCCATCAACAACACCGTCCGGCGAGTCGTTGCTGTGGTGTTCCTGGGGTGAAGCTGCGGATGTGCCGGATGAACGAAAGTTCTGGGGATGAAGAGATATGAAGAGCAAGGAGCGCAACTGAAACCATGAACAATTTTTATAGCACACATTTGAATTGGGATATATCAAGACATGCCCCAATCCAAACCAGTTGCTCAATCTAGCATACCTAACTCTGCTTAGTTTTTCCCTTTTGGGGCCCTGGACACCCCACAAATGGAAATCCTCGTACGGGATACACATGATCTACAACGGGCATAACTCCAGTTATTAGTACCACCAGTTGGATCCCAATGGCTTAATCAATAGCCAACTAGTCAGTTAGTTCGTTAGCTAGTCAGGCAATTCGTTGGTCATTTTGTCAATTTGTTGGGTAGTTAGTCAGTTCATTATCCAGCTACTTAGTCAGTCAGGTTGCTGAGCTGTAGGAGCCTTATTTTGTTTGTTGGCCTTGCATGGTCTTGCCATTTCCAGGTGGTTCATTGGCCCCTCAACTTCGGGAAAAATGGGGCAGCCTTCATCCGACAATCTATCCATCCCACCCCAAAGAGCAGTTGTGGTTCCCCTGTTTCCAGCCATTTGTTTGGGATTCTGAACCCTACCATAGATCATTGCCAATCTTAGATACCCTACAAAAAAAACTTCGCTGTTTAGTCGATAATCCCATTGAGACCAAAAAACTAAATGTTTAAAGTACCCATCCAAGGTTAACCTAGAGTTGGGTTTCAAGGTTTATATTTCAGTCGGGATCCCAAGTCCTTGCCTCATCACTCTCTGGATCGCTGTCTTTGTCTGCACCTCCGAACCGTCAAACTGTTGAGCTGGCATCTATCTTGACTGAATCCATCTCCCAAAGTCATCGTGTTAAGTGTTCCCCAAGGACAAAAAATTGTCCAAAACATGGGTCCACGAGTTAATTACTGGGACACAGGGATGGAATTTTGTCCCATGGTACCGTGTGTAATCAGCAAACGTCACTGGTACCGATGGCCCAATTTCTGGATTCCTATGTTAATCGCCTCCGCAGGGGTTCTGCACACCCCCGCTAAGCCTCCAGAAACATAGACCTCCGCAGGGGTTCTGCACACCCCCGCTAAGCCTCCAGAAACATAGACTTCATATATTTTCACATATTCTGTATGTAATGTCAATGTATATGTCGCTGTAGATGTGGATGTGAATGGCAATGCGCATGGGAAAGGGGTTGTGAGCCTGCATGAATGAACATAGATAGGTTGGTAGGTTGGTAGGTAGGTTGGGTGGTTGAAGGTAGTTTGGTTGAAGGCAGGTAAGGCAGGTAAGGCAGGTAAGGCAGGTAAGGCAGGTAAGGTAGGTAAGGTAAGGTAGGTAAGGTAGGTAACGTAGGGAAGGGAAGGGAAAGGAAGGGAGGGTAAGGTAGGGTAAGGTAGGGTAGGTAGGGTAGGTAGGTAGGGAAGGTAGGGAAGGTAGGGAAGGTAGGGAAGGTAGGGAAGGTAGGGAAGGTAGGGAAGGTAGGGAAGGTAGGGAAGGTAGGGAAGGTAGAAGGTAGGGAAGGTAGGGAAGGTAGGGAAGGTAGGGAAGGTAGGTAAGGTAGGTAAGGTAGGTAAGGTAGGTAAGGTAGGTAAGGTAGGTAAGGTAGGTAAGGTAGGTAAGGTAGGTAAGGTAGGTAAGGTAGCGCGCGTGTGTGTGTGTGTCAAGCTCTGTACCAAAGAGTTCCTCACTTTCTTGCGACTGATTCCAACCAACTAGTTTTCAACTGCTTTCCACCATAAATTTTGGATACCGTTGCATTTTAATTCATAGCAGGGGGCACAAGGACCTTTGGTGAGTCTTGTGCCAATGAAGACACTCACCTTAGGTTGTGAAAACGTACCTGCATGATGCACCTGGATGACATACCCAATATGTTGGGGTCATAGCTGGTGGTCATATTCGTATCTGTTAGTACTTTATGGGATCAGGCTAACCCAAGAACCTGCATGCCGTCATTCAGTCATTTCATGATCACGTTTGATTGAGTCGTATTGGTTTCTCTTTTAAACAACCTGACATTCAAATGTCAACGGATAAGCTTGGCCTTTTTAACTCGGTATGGCCGAGTGATGCCTTCAATCTACCATGAGGTAATCAGACTTTGCATTCATGAAAAGAGACCGTCTTTCATGACTTCGCAAGTGTGTATTTCGGCCGTGGGATCTGTCAAAGTCCGGTCGTGATCCTGGAATTCCAGGCGTCGTATCTCCCCTGGGGGTGCGAGAATCCACAAGTGAATTTGACTCTTGAATTCAGCCACGGTGGCTCATTGCAATGATTGAACGTGTGTCTCTGACACAAAGCGTGCATTTGAGAGAATAGATCCCGGTATGCTATCCGGCAAAAATAGCTTGAATCCACTGAGTTTGAACTTGAATTTGACTTTTGACAATTTTGGCGACTGATAGTCACCAATAAGATGAATTTTCTGAATTCCACACTTGAAGCCTCAGCATTGAATTCCAAATGGATGAATTGTGTTTGTACACATGAATGCCTTTTGGTGTACAGTTGAGCAAGCAACAATACGTTATCACTTGTTAGTTGTCTAACTGATCAATCCTTGTACAGTTAACAAGTTGTCATATTAGACAACACATTTTCCATTTTCCTTTCTCTAGATTTCTGAGCCATGTCGACTCCGGTGTATAATGTTTACTTTGTGGCCGGCAACGTGGACCCGACTCCACCTCGGCCACCCAAAGCACCGGCGAAGCCAGCAGTAAGACTGGCATTGACACCACATGCTCCTCCAGCAACTCCGGTAGCAGCCCCAGCCGCAATTCCAGGAACGATCTCCGTACCTCGTCGACCGTCAGCAGTCCAACCTGCGGTGCCGGTTGGAACAGATGATGACAAACAGGAAAGACGCACAACATCAAGTTGCTCCAGATCCAGAACAAGACGTCGTCATCGAGCATCCCATCACCGTCACCATCATCGTGATCACCATTCTCCGAGGTCCACTTCGAGATCTGAAAGAGGTAGGTCAGTTAGAACGGCTCGTTCTTCTTTCTCTCAAGCTCTCCGTCCTCCACCAGGTCAATGGGACATTCATACTGGTCTTTGGGACCCGTATGTTGGAAACATTCCTCCCAGAGCGCATGTTCCTCCTCCCAGAGTTCCTGCTCCTCCTCCCTTGAGACCGTTTTCAGCCTTCCCTCTATTAGATCGCTCAGGACGTCACGAAATGACACCAACCAGTCAGCCAGTCACTCCGAACCAGGCAAATATTCGATCTTGGTTAAAAAATCATCAAGATGATGACTACCCGATGATGGACAGTATGGTGAAATTCGTTGCACAAATTCTGGACTCCACCAGGTATACTCCTGATCATTTGTCCACAATGAAGTTGCTTGTTTATGACCCTCAAGATCATGAACATCATCCTACTGATTTGGGCAAGAGTCATTTTTACCTTATCAAAGGACATTTCTCTCAAAGAGAAATACCAGACCCAGTACGAGCTGCACCTGCGATGAACCTCCAGGAAGTACAACATGTGAATTTGGTTCATGCTAGCAGTATTGGAGGCATCAAAGGCATTTTTTCTGATCAAAAGATCGGACCTAGCCGTTTACACAACAACCAATCTTGCTCATTTTTCAGTCTTGGATCTAAAAGAACCAACGACAGAGCTTGGGATGACAAAGAAATGGCCAGAATCACACATGCAGCATGGTACGCTGCAAAGAATACAAGTAACATTCTGGCAGTAGCGGTAGGATGGGGAACGGCTGAGGCCGTAAAGCAAGGGGGAGAATGGGAATGCGTACAGAAAACCATGAATGGCGGATGCGTCCACCATCAAAGAGGACGTATGTGGGTCACTAATGAAAACTCCCACAAACTCTTAGGTTTTGCATTCAGAGTGGCAGCTGAAAGCCCACTAGACTAATTCCCTACTCCGTTTTGAACCTTGCTGTTTTTACCATTTTCTATTTTTGTCTGATTGGAATTTTGCTTCAATATGAACTGCCCGTTTCTCCATCAGACTTGTTACCGGTATGCTTAATTCATTTCCGTTGCATGTGCGATCGACATTTGCTGAGATGTCCAAAAAAAAAACGCATGGACAACCCATGCATTCCGATTTGTGATTTTGACGTACATATCTTAACTCTATCGGAATTGTGATCCATTTTGTCCAACAACACGATACATCAGAATGCTGCGTTGAATCAACGTGCCGCATCCAATTGCAGGTTTTTCAATTCTTTTTGTTATTTCAGTTTTAGCTGCAGTTTTGGGTTCTTAGGCTTCCTGTTGACGTGTTAACTTCTCCGTCGTTAGCCATGTCGTACTGGAACAGGTCCCAATGGAACTCTTGGGACAATCAATGGCAGCAGCAGCAGTCTCCTCCACCTCCGCCTCCGTCTTCGAGTCCGCCCGTGAGTTTACCATCAAATTGGCGCAGCACGAGTCAATGTTGGGATGATCAAGTTCAATATGGTTACCGTTTGTACAGATCAATTCAACCGACTGCATGGAGCCGCAAGAGGAATCTTGCTGGCCAAGATCCTCTTTCCGTCCCGCTCAGTCATCTTACTCGGCATGGACCTGATGAAGCAGCGCTTCGAGCGCTCAGTGAGGGTAGATTTGTTGGCATTATTTGTGCGAAATCTGTTGCTGAATCTGTGTTTGGTTCCCAAATTTTGAAGACATTCCGTGATCAAGGAATTGATATCGATGCTACGGCTGAAAGCCTCCATCGCCAGTTGGCCCCCCAGCAGGGCATTCCCAATCGCACAGACAAACCGATTGAGTTTATGGCACCTTTAGTTCAGTTCATAGCCGATAAACTCAAGGCTCAGTGTCCTGTAAAACAGGATACCGAAGCCATGCGAAGGCTCCAGGAGACCGAAGCGAAGCTTCAAGCTGCCAAGTCCAAGCTTGCACAAGCAGGCATTCCGGACACACCCCAGAGATCACGGCGTATCACCGGCACTCTTGCCCCTGATCCCAAATTGCCAACTGATGATCCTGATGGTCCTGGTTCTGCTGGTTCTGTTGTTCCTGTTTCTCCTGCTGTTGTTTCTGCTTCTCACAAGAAGAGACCTAGCGAGGCATTAGGGGCTTCTCCGAAATCGCTGCCAAAGCAAAGAAAGCTGGCACCTATGTTCCGCAAGGCAGCTGCGTCGCCAAAAGATGAGACCTCTGCCACGCACTCTCCGACAGAAATCACAATTCAGGAGATTTTGGAGCCAAAGGCCCCAAGTCTCAGAGAGAATCAGCTTTCCGGAACCACTGCAGCCAATGTAAAGAAGTGGACCCAGAATTTCAACCTGGAAACCCAGCAGATGTCCAAGAAAATCATGGATATCATAAAGGCTGCTAAATGCACCAAGGAACAGTTGCAACAGGCCAGCACTCAATATGGCCTTAATTTAAGTGCTGTCCTCAAGCTCAGCATCACAAGTCTCCAACAGGCAGTTGCTGTTGGAGCAGCTCTTACAGCTTGACTAGCTATGGATGTTTCCAAACATCGGCCGAAAGCCGTTCTGGATTACATCACAGTTTTGAGATCCGTATTTATTGAGATCGTGCACTCTGTCCCTGCTGTCAACAAGTCTTGTGCAATTTGGGCCCTTGGTTTGCTTCATCTCATTTGTCTTTTCCATTTTGGATCACGCACGTATCATACCGCGGTTTGGCAGCGAAGACTGCAGAACCTTGGTATTAATCCAGAGAGTTACACTTTTGTATTCTTTCAATGTACAGCTGTCACCTATCTTAAAATGCAGTTTAACCTTCCCAACTCCACTTCACTTTCCTACAAACAAGCTGGCAGATTTTATATCGGCTCCACATCCATTGGAATGGCCAAGCGGGAATTCAATAGAATGGCCAAGTACAGACTGGCCAAAGCTGGTACTCCTGTTCATGTTGAACTTGCTGTTAAGTACTGGTCTCGACGTTCGGATTTTTCCAATTTTACTGCAATACCAATTGCCTCTTTTTCTACATATCAAGAAGCCTGGATTTTTGAACATTTACTGATTTCAAGATGGCAACCACCGTTGAACCATCCATTTATCACCAAAATCTTGACGCTGAAAGCATCAGGATGGCTGGTTCAGTACAAGAAACATTCTCAGACATTTCCATCTATTCCACAGGGAACCAGATTGTTTCAAAGACTACGCAGACGACTCATTACCAAAGGTGTTCCTCCCTCCATTCACTGCAAACAAGCTCAAGCTTGGAACATTCTTTTTGAGCTCACAAGTCCTGGCCGCCTCTCCTTTGACACAGCGACAACCCTCAGGTCTGGGAAATTTGATGATTGGGAAATATATGTGTTGTACCGACTTTGCAATCATTTAGAACAGCCAGCGCGCGGTCGAGCCAGGAAACTTCTTGCATCAGCCATGAAGTTCAGAAATATGACGATACCAAAACTGAATCGTCCAGCGACTATGCCATTTTTGGCACACTCTGATTTTTCAGCACAAGTTTCAAGATTTTTACGTAATCATGTCCTACAGTACAAGGAAATTGCAATTCCGTTGCATCTTCCAACCTCAAAACTGAGGGAAGCTGCAGCACAGACACTTTCAGGTTTTCTACACAATTACAAGCACTATGAGCACAAGCACCCTGTACAGGATCCGACCCAGTTGACATGTTCGTGCTCTCAATTGATTGCCAAAATCAAACATTTTGATCCTTCAATTCATTGTTTTGGTGTCCATCAACATGTTGCAGTTGGTATCCATGAGTTGAACTTGCCCTCCAAGTTGCGCATCTTTGAGACTGCCAACGCCTCCTCTACGTTTTTTCCCAGCTTCGCACAATTTCAGAACATGTGGCATGAACAATTGCAGTACTGGACTAAATATCATGGTTGCCCTCCGTTTTCTCATCGTGATCTTCAAGCCGAACTTCTTCGACAATGGACCGCTCACACCAAGGAGCTGCAGACTAATCCCAGATTTTCCTTCCACAACATCAAGTACCTCCTTCAATGGTTACCACCCAATGTGGTGATTCATCATGCTGATCATGAAATTCATCGTATCACCCTGTTTTGTCCTTCCTTCTATTTTGAGTCTGCTTGCAGAACATGGGATGATCCTGAATTGTTTTCCCGTTTTCCTGGAAATGAAGAAGATGCTCAAAAGCTCATTGCTACTGCTTTGACACCGTCCTTGCAAAACCGATACAGATGGGGGATTAACACATCCTCGACACTGCCTCACGGCTTTGTACATCTGAAAAGAAAGAAGATGTTCAACAAAGGACGTACATTGATTTCGTATTTTGGCTCACGCTATGGTAAACTCATGCAGGCCACCGCCAGAACTCTTGATACGATGTGTGTGATGCTTTGGCCGCAAGAAGCCGGCCAACTTTCAGTTCCTGCAATTTGGAAACATATCCATCAACGGTTTTTTCATACAGATGACGATATTCAATTTGCTGCCATCAACGATGATCTTGTTGGATTTTTCAACAGCGTCCCTCAATCACGTTTACTTGATGCGATTCAACAATTGACCACGGAATGGGTCAATCAACATGGTGAAACACAAGTTTCGGTCAACATGGCTCTGAAAGGGCCAGTTGTCCACACTGCATTTGTGGGACAGTGCAAGAAGACATCATCCAATATCAAGACCGTTCGAGTTCAAGATATTTTGACAATTGTCCAGGCTTCTTTAAGTACCCACGTGTTTAAAGCTGTCAACCAAATTTGGGTACAGCATCGTGGAGCAGGGATTGGATCACACATCTCTCCCTCTCTCAGTAATTTGGCTGTCACGCTCGTAGAGCGCAGCTGGAGAAATGCGTATGTAACTTTTGTTCAATCCAGCCAACTCCAGCTTCTGTTCACACGATATGTGGACAACAGATTCATTTTGTTTGACCATCGACTTCGCTCCGCATTGCCCATGCGAGTGCTTTCCGATTGTTTCTTTTATCAAGCGCCGGTGGAGTTGGAAACCGTCGAAGATGGTACACTCCTTGGGTTCACCATCGATGTCGTGCAACGAACCGTAAGGTACCAAGTACCTCCACTATGGAAAATTCGTGATCTCCATTCTGCTGGCAGCATGCGTCTCCGCTTGTCCGGACTAAAGTCCCGTGCAACCTTAATTCGCAGATACACGTTTCCCAAACAATTTGTCCGTGATGATCTCAACCAACTCATTCAGCTGTATGTACAGAAAGGGTTCTCCAAAACAGACTGCCAACGCGTCCTGTACAGAAGGCAGTTCAAGCATACCTAACCTTTTGGCTGCGGCAAAATATTTACTAGCACACTGATGAGGTTGCAAATTTTCCTCTGCGGTTTCTCACCTATCTACTGATGATGTCTTCCACTCTCGCCTTTAAAGAAATACCAGCCCGGCTTCGTGCCTTTTTGTGTGTGTCAAGCTCTGTACCAAAGAGTTCCTCACTTTCTTGCGACTGATTCCAACCAACTAGTTTTCCACTGCTTTCCACCATAAATTTTGGATACCGTTGCATTTTAATTCATAGCAGGGGGCACAAGGACCTTTGGTGAGTCTTGTGCCAATGAAGACGCTCACCTTAGGTTGTGAAAACGTACCTGCATGATGCACCTGGATGACATACCCAATATGTTGGGGTCATAGCTGGTGGTCATATTCGTATCTGTTAGTACTTTATGGGATCAGGCTAACCCAAGAACCTGCATGCCGTCATTCAGTCATTTCATGATCACTTTTGATTGAGCCGTATTGGTTTCTTTTTTAAACAACCTGACATTCAAATGTCAACGGATAAGCTTGGCCTTTTTTAACTCAGTATGGCCGAGTGATGCCTTCAATCTACCATGAGGTAATCAGACTTTGCATTCATGAGAAGAGACCGTCTTTCATGACTTCGCAAGTGTGTGTGTATCATTATATATATATGTGTGTGTGTATCATTATATATATATGTGTGTGTGTATCATTATATATATGTGTGTGTGTATCATTATATATATATATATGTGTGTGTGTATCATTATATATATATGTGTGTGTGTATCATTATATATATATGTGTGTGTCTATCATTATATATATATGTGTGTGTGTGTATCATTATATATATGTGTGTGTGTGTATCATTATATATATGTGTGTGTATCATTATATATATATGTGTGTGTGTATCATTATATATATATGTGTGTGTGTATCATTATATATATGTGTGTGTGTATCATTATATATATGTGTGTGTGTGTATCATTATATATATATGTGTGTGTGTATCATTATATATATATGTGTGTGTGTATCATTATATATATATGTGTGTGTATCATTATATATATGTGTGTGTGTATCATTATATATATGTGTGTGTGTGTATCATTATATATATATATATGTGTGTGTGTGTATCATTATATATATGTGTGTGTGTATCATTATATATATATGTGTGTGTGTGTATCATTATATATATGTGTGTGTGTGTATCATTATATATATATATATGTGTGTGTGTATCATTATATATATATATGTGTGTGTGTATCATTATATATATATATGTGTGTGTATCATTATATATATATGTGTGTGTGTATCATTATATATATATGTGTGTGTGTGTATCATTATATATATATATGTGTGTGTATCATTATATATATATGTGTGTGTGTATCATTATATATATATATGTGTGTGTGTATCATTATATATATATGTGTGTGTGTGTATCATTATATATATGTGTGTGTGTATCATTATATATATATGTGTGTGTATCATTATATATATATGTGTGTGTATCATTATATATATATGTGTGTGTGTATCATTATATATATGTGTGTGTGTATCATTATATATATATATATATGTGTGTGTGTGTGTGTGTATCATTATATATATGTGTGTGTGTATCATTATATATATGTGTGTGTGTGTGTATCATTATATATATATATATGTGTGTGTGTGTATCATTATATATATATGTGTGTGTATCATTATATATATATGTGTGTGTGTATCATTATATATATATGTGTGTGTGTGTATCATTATATATATATATATATGTGTGTGTGTATCATTATATATATATATATGTGTGTGTGTATATCTATGTATATATATATATATATATAAATGTGGGGAATCAGAGTGTATACTCAGGTTCAGTGTCATAAGGAGATCAAAATAATTCATGGCGTTTCGAAACGGAGTTTTTTTTTACGGTGATAAACCATGATAAACCCCCCAAATCCACTGGTTCATCATCATCATCATCATCATCATCATCATCATCTGGCATCAAACATCATAAACATCTATTAGAAATTATTAGAATCTATCATCTAGAATCTGCTATCAAATCCGTACCAATCTTCCATAGATGTTCACCTTCCAAAAACCCATGGCCCCTTGGGGCGTCCGTCCCAGGTGCTGGTGTCCAGCGTGAAGCCCACCACGCCCTGACCGAAGGTCAGCACCAACTCTGTGGAGGCGGAGTACAACACGTAGCCCGCGGCCACCAGGGACTGGCCACCGGAGACATCGGAGGTCCATGGACGTTTTTTGAGGCACCAAGAAATGGTGAAAAATGTGGGTTTTAACCCCCAAAAATGGTGGAAGAGGTAGGTTTCAATATGTGTTTTTATATGTGTTTAAGGGAAATACTGATGAATTATGGTGAATTATGGATGTTGATCCCCACATATCCCAACCCAAATACGGTATATATTATAGTTTCTTTGTTCTATTATGAACTTGTGGATGGTGATCCCTATGATCCCTGATGTTGCTGTTGCTGCTGGGTGAACTCACCAAAGAAGTAATCCAGCTATTGGGGGATATAAACAGGTTATGATCACCAGTCAACTCACTAACCATGGTACATCTAAGCGCCAGTTGTCAGTGAGATTGATAAAGTCATCCAACCCTGGATATTATCCACCATAAGACATCTCTTCAAGAGTGGCGGATTTGACACAGGAATGTCTGTATGCTACCAGGGCACCTGAAACATGTGGCCACAAACCCTCAGCAGCAAATGACCTTCCCATCCCCCCGGAAATGGCACCTTGCCAGGCTGCAGGGTGCCAGCCAAACACCTGTTTTTTCCATGGACAATCGCACTCCGGGGCATACATCCCCTGTTAAAACCCATGGTTTCTGGGGTGTGGAATATTGGGGGGATGGGACCAATGACAATGTGGCAACGAAAATCGGTTGATTACGACCCAGATTCCCAGCCACTGCTGCATTGATGCTTGAAGAGGATTAAGTCTCTGGCAGGGTCAGGATCAGGTTACCGAAGGCTAAACGGCTTAAACTCCACGCCTGCCTTGGCCACCTCTTTCACTTCGATCAGTGAAATTCACCATTTCCATGAGCTGTGCAATATCTATCCTTCTATCCATTCCTTTCCGTCTCTGCCTATCTACCTGTCTATGGCCTATCTATCTATCTATCTATCTATCTATCTATCTATCTATCTATCTATCTATCTATCTATCTATCTATCTATCTATCCATATTTCTTTTTTCCTATGAGTCCAGGCGTGTCAGAATGTAAACTTTGCCATTGTCAAAGTTGAGATTTGCTTTCTTTTGAACAAATACGGAGACATCCACCAGCACTCAACATATTGCTATATATTGCTATCACATGTGCATGTGCAATTGTCAAAACATGTCAAAACATGATATGGGTTATGGTCATCCCACCATCATTATGGATCCCTTATATCACTTACAGTTGGTATATCAACCCCATATCAGGGAGGACGGCCGTCCCCAATCAGAAAAGACCCATGGAGCTTGACCAAAACCATCCCACTGATGTGTTCCGTTCTATCACCACAAACATCGCAAAAAAAACCATTAAATCACCATGTTCCCCACGTGGTTTTTTCGGCAAATCCCATGAAATCCCAAGAAATCCCAAGAAAAATCACTGTTGCACCGTGGTTTCCTTAGGAAATCCACCCAAAATATGGTGCATGTTTCACCTCCTGCCGGCCTTTGCTGCTCCTCGGAGAGACCTTTGGAGAGATCCGCGGGCAGCTCGCACTCTGCTGGGCTTGGCTCCTGGGGGACTGAATGGGTGGATTTCAATGGTTTTTACTTATGTGAATTGAATAAATTAAAACTAATTTCTGATTGAACCTATTGTTTTTTTTAACCTATTTGAACCTATCAACCGTTTTTACCTATAAGTCAATATTCTCATCAATACATGAAAAAATTACTCATGGCTTCATTTGCGTGCATCTCAATGGATTGGGTTGATGAACATCTAAATTGAGTACAGAAACCATGAGAAACTATATATATATATAGTTGATGGAAGAAATTGCTTTATACATGTTTATACATTTATACACATCAACTTACATATGACATATGTCTCACCTATTTAAATTACCCATGCTTCAAGGGGGCACGTCCGCAAGTCCTCCCAGGGGCGCTCCTCAAAAACTCCGAAGATGGTGCCCACTGGAATGCCAGCATCCACGTTGCCTTGGATAGCTGGAGAACATGACTTGCGTTGATTCCAAAGAGATAAACTTAAACATGTTTGACACATAGTGACATAATTAAGTGACATAGTGTGAAAATAGGGAATGCTTGCTGTCCATCACCTGGGAAAAATGATTTCCAGTCAGTCTGAACACTCTTGTATAACTCACCATGAAGCATACCAAAGGTCGGGGATCTCATTTACTTTTCTTGGCGCCCTCTCAAGATTGATGTTTGTATCAGCAGATTTGTTCAACATAACATAACATAACAAAAACATGAAGTACAAGGGTTTTCTGCCAATGTTCCCTTAAACCCTATTCAAAGAAAACAGTGGAAAGAAACACACCAAAATCAGAAGAGTCAAACAAACCAACGCTGTTCCTTTTGATCAACTGTCGATTGGTTGTGAAAAGCGGGGCCTACCATGGCCTACCCCTCTCTCAATCATTCTACTAGTAGAACAAGGAGGTCGATGAAGTGAACAACACGCACCCATCATGCATTTACATGCATTTACTGAATATTCACATACTACATATCATATAATTGCCTGCCTCTATCCGAATTATCCACCCCAGAAAAAATGCCATACAAGCACATCATCATGTACAAATCATTACAAATCTACCATCCATGGCTCTGAGATATGGCGGTCCCTGTTTTTTTGGGGGCTGGCATGGCTGGCATCCAGGATGCTGCTGCCATCCAAAGGGTCGAAGACGCAGATGTATTTTCCGGTGTCCGCAAACTCCTTGACCAAGGCTGTGCTTCTGAGATGGGTCATTTGGCGCAATGAAAACTGAGGGTTCTATTGCCAATTGAGACGTTTCTACCTGCACATTGGAATAAAGACTATAGTATGACTATAGTCACAGTTTCGGTTTCAATTTTGGCAGACTCAAACTGTGAGTATTCATTCGGAATTGGGGCAATGCCTCAATGAATGGCAAAAACAAGGGAAACTCACTGTGTTTTAATCCCTCCTGCGTGTCATATCTTTCGCACCAACAACTTCCAGCTTTGGTGGATTCCTTCTTGCAAGTAAACAACATATGGCACTATGTGAGTGTGTCTGAAAATCGGGTATACACCCAATTATAGCTGGTTGGTGGTTTTGACCAGCTTCAAAAATATGAGTTCGTCAGTGGGGATGATGACATTCCCAATATATGGAAAAATAAAATTCATGTTCCAAACCACCAATCAGATAGCCATTTAATAAATCAATTGTGAAAAAAAACATTTTCATTATGATTTAATAGCCATTTTCATTTAATTAATAGCCATTTAATAGGCATACTTGGTGGTTTGATAATGATAAATCAACTATTGGGTTCGAAAACAGCTATGGCCCTGACATCGGAGAGCAAAGGGATGGCTTCGCTGCCGCCCCTGGCCGCAGAACCAAAGTTGGAACGCCTCACCCATCTATTAATATGGTACAATATGCTACCATGAAGTAGAATTGAATGAGTTTACTTAAGTCTATTAGTCTACTTCTTCGATTTGGCCAAACGCGGTTGATTGCAGTTGGTCAGGGCTAGTCAGAACAACATGGGGATCTCAAAGACCATAGATTTATAGATTTACCAACAGAATCATGCCCCTGTTCGTACTGATCAAATGGGAGTTCCAAGACAAAGAGCGTAAGCTTGTAGAGTGGAAACCAAGCAGCATTGACATGTTTATAACTGTTTATATAAATATAAACGTTTTGTCATGCTGGATGCTTGTGGCAATACAAGACCGCGGAAAGCAATCGTGATAGAGAGTCGAGATACATCACATATCACATACAAAATGGCCCACCCAGTTCTAAATTGGTTTAGAAACCCCATTGACTACAGATGTGTCATGATAGACAGATAGACAGACAGACATACAGATAGACAGACAGATAGATAGACAGACAGATAAAGAGATAGAGACATAGAGAGACAGAGAGATAGAGATAGAGAGACAGAGAGATGATATAGAGATAGATATAGATATCTACCATAAACTCTATTGGAGTTACACAGCAACTTAGCATTCTAGAGGGCCGGGCCCTACCTCGTAGCACATTCACAACACCCTGCCGAGGTCCAGACACAGATCCATCCACCGGCTCGTCTTCCTCCTCTGATGCCAGGGTGCCCAACTTGCCTGCATGATGCAGGCTGTATCGAGTTCCCTTTTCAACGCATTAAAACAGAACAACTACAAAAAAAAAAACATTGGTCTGAGTCTTATCAATGAATTTAAAGCTTCCTGTAAATCTGCCCATCTTCGAATTCTGGGATTTGTTCGAATGTTTTGTTGAGGCGTTCCTTGTTTGTGGAGTTTTTGGTGCTGGTGATTACCCTCAAATGAAAAGAAAGGTTGCCCTTGTCGAGAATGGATTGAGCCGTTGGAATGAAGAAATGACCAAGAATTATATTAAAAGAACCTCACAAAGAGGAAGCATGACAGGAGGCACAAATCAATGATGAAGCAGTGTGCGAGGGTGCATCAAAAATCTGCATAAATCTGCATTATCTAATTCAGAAAGCTCGTGCATCTTGGAAGCTCGAGCGGAACTATTTTATAATGATAGGCCAGAAAATGAAACTTGACGCCATGGAATCTGGGCATGGATCACAATGGGGACAAAAATAAACCCACAAAATTGGTGATACTTAGCCATCCAGCTGTATATCCAGGTTGGGGCTTGAACATGTTGCCCCTAGGTTCATTTAGCATGGAAGCTCAAGGGGGCTCAATCTACTGCAGAAACTGGCAAAAAAATCGTCCACGCCAGGCATGCGGCATGCCTGTGTATCGCAGGGCATTCTTGAAGACGTCGTTTGTGATGACCTGGGAAACCGCACGAGACAAATCTTCTTAGATACAACATCCATAGCAATGACTACAGTGAAAGTAGTGTGGCAAACCCGATGGCATATAAATCATATACATCCCACTCTGTTAACCCAATAAGTTTACCATTGTTTTCTGATGATTTCCGACGATTTTTGCCAATTCCACCACAAGCAAACACAAAATATCCCACACTCATTAGCCGATGACTTTTGGCCAGGACCAGCAACCTCAGGAAGAACATATCTTGGTGGTACCTTTTCCCGGCCTGCTTTCCAACAAACTGAGCATCCGCACATCCAACTTCTTTTGATCTTCGCCCTGCACGTTGATCTCGCCTTGAAGTCCCAAAAGCTCCGCCTGCACCGCAGTTTTCTTGCTGGAAGGACGCAGAAAGAGCTAGAAACCAGCTAGAGCACTTCAAATGCAAAAGCATTCGCGAATCTGTGTTGATTCCAGACTCGATGGAACCCAAGGACCTACTACTATATAGAAAACTTGACCTTACATGTCATGGTGGGCATTACCAGGTATGGGTATGCAATGGTATGCAGTGCCAACCATCCAATTGGTGCTTTGTGATAAGAATTAGCCACACATAGTACAACCCGTCGCACCCTAGCCATGGAAAGCCTAGAAAAGTCGCCATGCAGATGTGAACGTTTATCATAGGAACATATCACGAAAACGAAACGAGTCTTCAATTGTTCAATTGCCACCTTCGATACATCCAAAAAAAAATACCTCCGGTTCCTTCCAAGGGCAGGTGGCCTGTTGCAGTGGTGCAGTGTTCACCAACTTGGCAATGACTTTGGCCGCCTGCGGGAAGCGGTGAGATGTGGTGGTGCAGTTGCAGTTAAGTGGAGATTTTATCATAGTTAAAGGATGTTATAGGGGAGTTAAGCCAAAATGGTTGTTAGCCATTTATAACCTCAACATACGTCAACTGCACAACTGCACCCCAAGTAGGGAGCCTGGTTATGGAAGTTTGGGAGTCAGAACCCCAAGATCCTTTCTGAGTGTTCACTCTACAACCTGTCCCATGTATACAAGCAGCGTCGCCTGGATCAGTTCCCCTACACTGAGGGTTGCCAAATTTGGACTAGCCACCAACTTGTGGCCTCTACGAAGATGAAGGCCAAAAAGCATCCCTCTACTTGCGGACCCACATCTACTTTTCATCTGCAGAAGCATCCCCCTTCAAGCAGGCAGCACAACCCCCACACCTCACAAATCATCCATATCTTCAGCGATTTCAATAGCTCAAGAAATATGTTCATGAATTATCATGAATTCGTCTATTGGTTGATCCCACTGCTCCCCAAAAACTTTCCAGGCCTCACGGATGGAGTTGAAGATGGAGTTCAGATCCTCATCGATCTTCCCGCGGTTGGCCAGCTCGATGCAGTAACCTCTGCGACCAGCTCTACAGCCCAACTGGGGCCCCAAAATGATCAGATCCAATAGCCCAAACAAACCAGGGCTTCAAGAAGCATCAGGATGCCAGGATTACATAGGATTACTGTATACCGGCTGGAACAGAATCGCAGGAATGAACATCCATCATTGATTTGCAGATGATGTGCTTGTTCCAAGTGCGAATTTCGATGTTTAGGTTTTATGTTTTCCACTTGTAATCCCAACAATCATGATATCAACTTCTTGGTTTGTTTGCGATATTTGTTTAATTTGATTTAAGATTTGAAATGGACACCGCAAAACCACCTTCCAGGGTATAAATTCCATGAAGAAATGCCTGGTGAAGTCTTAAACACCCTGTGCTCCCAAACACTCACGCCCCAGGATGTTCGGAGTTTTATCACTGTTCCAATTGCCGTTCGGTGCACGGAGGTTCTCTTGGTCAACCAACACACCCACTGCAAGCAAAGGGCGGCTGAGGGTCACCCCGGTCTGCTCGCACACATCCTCAAACTCATCCACGACTCGAGTGGCGGTCCTGGCATTGCCATATGGAGCGGGTCTGAGATGAAGATCAAGTTGATGATGGACGGGCATGCCCGGGTGTAAGAAGAGAAAAAAAAGGTACCTGGCCAAACGGCTACAAGCCCAGTTGCAATTGGGGCAGGGTTTATCCAGTTATAACCCGGGTTCTATGAAATCCACCTAGCATATGGGGGCCGCATACTGGGAAGGACCAAAGGACCCCAGCATTCGCTGTGTCTCCAGCACTGCACATCATGCTGTTTCGCAACCATGATCTGGATGCCGGCGGGAGGGATCAAGAGTGCTAAAGTGCTTCTCAAAGATTACGCTGGGCTCACTTGACTGATCCTTTCAATACAACAATACTAAAGCTGAAATTGTGGCCGTCTGCGAGTCATGGTGATATCCAGTATAGGATTGCCCCTCAATTCCTTCCATCCCCGCTGCCATCGGCATCTCCTGGGTTTGGAGGTCTTAGCCTCGACAGTGTCATGGTACCCTGGATATTCAACTATGGACGGTTCCTGGGTTGCTAGCCCACCTCTTCTCGCTCCGGCAAATTCAGTTTTGCAGGTTAAAAACAACAATTAGTTGATCAGGTTCCTGGAGAAAGATCTCATGTTTTTGCCAAATCCCAAAAATAATCGCGCAATCTTCTGCAAAGAACAGAACATCAGCCATAATCACCCAACTTTTGACCTTCAATGGATTGATTGGATTGGCTTAAGGAAAATGTTAGAGGAAATCATGG